GAGGGGGGGGGGAGAGCCTGCTCGGCCAGAGAAGGCAGCTTACTAATGAGTGCCGCGACCCCGATGGCAGACGAGGCACGCAGTGCTATTAGCACTAATTCACTGTGCGAAAACACAGAGGGGCTGGGGAGGGGGCAGCCGCAGCGGGGAGAAGCCGGCGGGAGGGGAGGGAGCGAGGGAGGTGCGCTCGGCCGTAAGGAGATTATGGCCAATTTCTGCGAGGTGCCTGCATCCACTGCAAAGCCCAGCTCCTCTCCAGTGCCTCTGCCTTCACCTCCCAAGAGGCACAGAAAATCAGGAGAGGAGCTGCAGGGAAGGGGCCACCTGGCAGGAGCCGCTTGCAGTCACCCCCTCCGGGCCATCATTGCGGCTTCGGGCCTCCCCAGCCAGAGAAGGGCTGCCCCCAAGCACCTCCGTGCTGCCCCGAGAGCGGCACAGCCAGACCGTGACTGTGGGGACAGGACGGGGCCACGCGGGAGGAGGGCAGGAGACCTGCGTGGCAGCGGTAGCCCTGCTGCCAGCCCTCCCCTCACCAGCGGTGCTGCCGCGGCGAGCACGCAGGCACCAAGCTGGCGTCAGCTGGTTGTTACGACGGCCGCTCCCCAACCCCATCACCCTGGCGATGGCCCCAACACACCGAGCTTGTCAGCAGCTCCCGGCAGAGCAGCGAAGGGAGGAGAAGCCGAGCAGCGAGGGCCGGGCTGGTGCGGTGCTGGCCCCTGTCCTCAGGCCTGTCAGCGAGTCCCTGTGACCTGCCGCAGGGCAGCAGCGTTGCCTGCGCTCCGCCAGGCTGTGGCTGAGGTGTCCCTGCGAGGGCAGCCACGCCGGGGCCCCCTGCACCCCCCTCGGCAGTAGCCCTGGGCCTCATCCTGCCCAGGTAGCCCTGTCCAGCAGCCACCCCTTTCCTGGCAGCAGCCCCCATCCCCTTGCCAGCCCCCGGCGCCGAGCAGGGAAGCGCGGAAAAGCCATCATCTTACCGCTCAATGATGTCCGCGATGGTGCAGGCAAACATGAGGAGCCCTTCTGGCATCTGCAGGGCCACTGGGAAAAAGAAACAGCCCCGGGGTTAGGAGGGGCTGGAGGGGACGCCCCGAAATGGGGACCTGGGCATCAGCCCCTGGGGCCAATGTGCCCAGCTCGAGCGGCAGCCCCAGGAACCACCCTCCCCAAAACAGGCAGAAATTGGCCAAAACTCCCGGCAGCTCCAGCAGCGGGGGCGCATGTGGTCCTGCCTCAGGCCGTATCTCCCTGCTCGCACCCAGACCCTCGCACACACCTCATCCCTTTGTGAACCTGCTGACACTGCTGGTCTCTCTCACTTCCCGCAGTAATGAGTTCCAGATTTTAATTATGTGCTGCACAGGAAAAGGTGCTTTCTTCTGTTTATTTTAAACCTGCTCCTAATAATGTAAATGCATGCTCCTGGTTCTCCCGGTACAAGAAAGAGTGAATAATCAGCCCCTGTTCAGCCTCTCCACATCATTCACAATTCTATGTACCTCTATCACATCCCCCTTCGTTTGCCTCTTTTCCAGCTAAAGGATCTAAATCTATTTAATCTCTCCTTGTACAGAAGCTGTTCCAAACCTTTGATCGTCCTCGCTGCCCTTCTCTGCACCTCCCCTCCCTGCTTCTCTCCCCGTTCCGGGAGGGTGGCCGGCAACACCACGGCATTGTGCCTAGCAGGAATTTATTCATCAGCGAACGATACCTCCCAGTTTGCTCCCCCCTCGCGGATGGGAACAGTCCCTTTGCCTCCCCGCAGCGCCTGGGGTCCAGCCAGGAGCCCCCCTTGGGTCCCTCCAGGCTGCCCCAGGGCGGTGGGGAGAAGCAGGGACCATGCTGAGGGAGATGAATGAAGGAGGCCCCATTAATCCCGTTGTCAGTTGTCGTTTCACCGCCTGATCCCACTAAGACATCCCAGCTCCAGTGAGATCTACCCAAACATCCTCTCCAGATCCCCCTCCAACAGAAATCCGCACGCTGCCAAGCCCAGCCTGCTGGCCAGTACGGAGCTGTGTAAAGACCTGGCCCAAACCGGGCTAACTTCACCCTGCTCCAACCTGCAGTGCCCAGGGAAAGCTGCACGTGTTCTGCCAGCCCCTGCCCGAGCTGGCAGGGCCAGGCAGCTCGGGGTCCCAGCGTTCCCCAGCCCGTTTGGGACCACTTGGGACTGCCCCCTGCCCCAGGCTGCCACCAACAAGCAGACCTGCAAACCGCTTTGCCTCCCCCAGCAAGGTGTTGACAGCTGGGTCACTCTCCACCAACACTATGGGGACAGGGGGTGACACGCCAGCCCCCCCAAACCCCGCAGCAGGCAGGGTGCAGGCAGGGCTGGCCGCAGCCCGGCGGGAGGCTGCGTTCCCCCAGCAACGAGTCCCTGGCTGGGCTCTGCACGCGCAGATTTTTAAATCCCAGCACGGCTGGCTGGCTGATGGGCTCCGCTCCCAGCTCTGAAGCCTAAATCCCAGCCGCATATTTACATTTAATTAGGAGGTGCCAAGCAGCAAAACATGGCAACGAAAGCTGGACCGGCACGGCTGGGCGGGCAGCCTCGCCGCGTCCTGATGGGCAGCCCGGCCTCCCGCATCGCAGCCGGGCTGGACCAGGCAGCCCTGCAGCCTCCAGCCCCTAGGCCTCACGGCCGGGACCGGCTCAGGCAGCAGCTCCCTGGAGCCTCCCCCGCGACGCCTGCCAGCTCCTGCCAGCCCTGCCAGCTCGGTGGCAGCAGGCAGAGCCATTCCCCGGTGGACACAGCACTGCAAATCTGGCTCTGCCCGGAGCTCCTGGCACCGCACAACCCCGCAAGCAGCCCCCTCCCGCGTGCAAAGCGAGGGTGGGCACGCTGGTGACACCCGGGGACAGAGGGGGAGGGTCCACGCCCTGATGCCTGTAGCCGATCACACACCGAGAGCCAGCTCAGCCACAGCGGGATGCGCACACCGGGAGGCACAGCCCTGGCAGCACCCCGCAGCACCTGCTCCAGGGCCACCATGGCCACTCCCCACCCCTCCGGGGCTACAGCAAACCCCCGAGGAAGGCTCAGACTGGGGCGTAGCGTGGCCTAGCTCTCCGTTAGCCCCTCCAGCCCCCCGGAGCCCGGCGTTGAGGGGCTCCCCCTGCCTGGCCCCGGCAACGTGGCAGGGAAGTGCAGGGAGAGAGGAGAGCAGCAGGGACCTGGCCGGCATCCCAGACACATCTCGCAGGCTGACAGTTCCACGCGGCTCAACCTGTCCTGTCCGATGCGATTATAATCCAGAGACACAGATCTATTAACCCGCCTCGAGGCATGCCGGGGCACGCCGGGGAGCTCAGCACCAGCCCTGCCCCAGCAGCACTGGCCCTGTGCCCTGGCCCGAATGGGTTCCCTCACTGCCGGAGAGCTCAGCAGCACCGCCCCACCACGCTGCAGCCCCAAAACCCCTCGTCCCTGGGGCTGGCGCTCACCCTTCCTGGCCTGAGCCTGCCGGATCCGCCAGACGGTCTTGGGGATCTCGAAGTTGTAGTTTCGGGGCAGGGCCTCTGCCGCCTCCCGCAGCTCCGCGTTACTGAGGATCTCCTCGGGGATCTGCTGTGCCGCTCGCCGTGCAGGGCCTCGGGCTGTGGGACAAACCGGGTGGCCTAAAGGAGGGACTGGGAGGGCAGGGCACCCCGTAGCCCGTGGGCCACCAGCACCCTCGCTGCCCTCATGGCTCCCCCGGGGACAAGCGGGCAGGAGAAGGGGGTGGGTTTCTGCCCTTCACGCCAGGGGCAGGTTGCTGGCACTTTTGGGGGGAAAACACCTTTTTTTTTGCCCGGAAAGCACCACTGTAACTATGTGAAACCCTGTGAGTGGGGCTGGCTGCCCCCAAGGCAGGGGGACACCAGGCACAAGCCCCCCCGGGGGTCCCTCCTGCCCCACCAAGGGGATCCCGTTATCCCACCGGGAAAAAGGCAACAGCAGCGGCTGAGCCAGGCCCGTCCCCGGGAGCCTCATCCTGAAGTCGGCCCCCGCCAGCAACCGCCCCCCTACAGCTCCGGCGAAGCCGGAGAGCGGCGGGGGGGGGGGAGGCGGGGGGGTGTTTACCATTT